TTTTTTTTTTTTCTGAACCTACATGATGGAATGTCAAACGAGACTCAAGTAAACTCTTGCAAACTAATAAAAATAAAAATGGGCTGGGAAGGTGGCTCAGTGGTAGAGTGCTTGCCTTGTAAGCATGAAGCCCTAGGTTCAATTCCTCAGCACCACATAAGCAGAAAAAGCCATTGGTGCTGTGGCTCAAATGGTAGAGCACTAGCCTTGAGCTGAAGAGCTGAGGGACAGCACCCAGGCTGAGTTCAGGACCCACAACCGGCAATAATAATAATAAATGTATCAGAATGTTAGTGGAGTGCATGTAGTAGTTAGGGTATAGAGTCTACTTTGATATTTTCCTTTTGAAAGAAGTAATTTTTTAATGACTTTTCAATTATTTTTAATTGGAATACTAAATTGAATGAGCTTGTATTTTATGTTGTTGTGCATTATATATTGTATTATGCTCAATTGAGTTAAATTATAGGTTTTAGTCAAATTACTAAGTTTTACTATCTTAAGAAGCAGGTCTTAAAACATTATTTGTTGAGTGGGTTTTAAATAAACATCCCAGTCTAACTTATAGTTGTTTCTATTTATAAGGCTATCATTGTAATATGGACCAGATGTTAAGGGTCTTAAGTTTTAGTCCACAGAACATGGCATGTGCCTCAATAAATAGTGATAGACATCTCAGCACTTTATCTGGGTTAATGCCACGGCGCTCATCCGGACTGAGCAGAGTGGCCTTCGCTTTGCAGTTCCAACTCACTGTCACCGTGGAGGCCCTCCCCTTTCCAGGCAGACTTAGTCACTCCTGCCTTTGCGTTCCTGTAGCACTTTTGAAATAATTCCCTTAAACAGTTCTAATGCTGGTCACATATGATTTCTTTCAAGGAATTTATTTAATGCATTGTCAACAATAGATATTTTTCATGTAATTTAATCATTAGTATAATTTGTAAGTAAGTCATCTAAACTGTTGCCTTTGGAGTGATAGATCCTTACAGGGTTGTATGCGAAAGTCAGCTTTGGGAAACTTCAATAAAATTGAAAGCTATTTGCTAAATTCAATAAAATCTTTTTTATGTTGTTAAATCTGAGAAGGTAAAGGAAATTGTATGGTTTTTAAATGGGCAAAGAAAAATTAAAATGGGCAAAGAATAAAAAGGAAACATTTCAAAATGGTGAAGATATAATAGGAGTAGATTACAGTACTTTTCAGTTTAGGAAAATACCACAGATACTTCTAGATTTTATGATATGTGAAACAAATCCTCAATCATTTTTTTAAAATCTATTGCTACCACTGGAGCTGTAGCTCAATGATAGAGTACTTTCCTAGCATGTGTAAGATCCTGGATTTGATTCCCAGCATCACAAAATTAATTACCACTTATATGCTTATATTATACCTATTAATAATTACTAAAACAATTTAAAGATGTTCATGTGAAAACATGGTATTTCCAGGATAGAATTACAATGCAGCTTAGTAAAATTTCCATGTAAATTATATAGAATTGATTTTTTAAAACAAATTTTAAAATTGTTTAAATATTCAACTGCTTGCACTTTTTTTTGTCTTTTCTTTTTTGGTACTGGGGATTGAACCCAGGACGTTGCACTTGCTAGGCACGCGCTTTGCCACTGAGCTACATCCCAGCCCTGCTTGCACTTTTTTAAACGTAGGAATGTTTTTCCATGCCTAACCCAGTACCTGTGACTGAGGCAGGAAGATGAGAAATTCAAGGATAACTTGACTGCATACTGAAATTCCCTCTCAAAATCAAATCAAATCAAATAAATAAGCCAGGTGCCAGACTATAGTCCTAGTTATTTGAAAGTCTGAGATTGGAAGGATCACAGTTATAGGGCAGCTGAGGCAGAAAAGTTCAGCCCAGAGCGGAGAGCAGTGGTATGCACCTGTTAAACTGTGATAGAAAGCCTAAAATAGGCACATGGTAGCCCAAACCTGTAACCAGGTGGCTGGACACATGGCTCTGTGGTAAGTACATGTGCCCAGCAAGCACAGGCCTTGAGTTCAGACCTCAGTAGTGCCATATAAAATAAATAAATAAACAATAATTTCTAATAATGCAAAATTGAAAAATAAAAATAGATAAAACATGAATGATAATGAGACATGAATATAAAAGGGAGGCAGTCCATCTCAGAGCCAGCAGGAGAGAGAGTGAGAGGAGGATGCTGAGAAGTGAAATACTGTACTTATATGTATGTGAACACAGCGTATAATGAACCCCATGAAACACTTTGAAAAGGGAGAGAGGAAGAAGGGCACTTGAGTGGATGGTGTGAACTTGCTCAAAGCACAACTGTACACATAGAATTGTCCCCATGAACCCCGTCATAGTATTGATGTATACTAATTCAAAAGTAAAATTAAAAACAAAAATAAACAGCCCAATATATATGTGAATCCTTTTGATTTACTTTCTTTTCTTTCCAGAATTCACAAATGTACTTAAAAGTCATTTTTCCCAGTGGTCCCAAACTGATCTATTAGCATTCTTAAACAATGTACTCATATGTTGTAAATTATCAGTCACTCTTTTTCTACTTTCTAAGGAAGTCTCTTTTAATTTACTTTAAAAATTTTTGTCATAAATAATAAAAATGACACAAGAGAGGAGATCAGAGGGAAAAAAGCTGCCAAATTCTATTGTATTCGTGCTATAAATTTCAATAACTAACATTAAAGGGATAGAAGTTGATCATTTTAGTCTAATCAATGACTTTATTATTATTATTATTGAGAACATAGCTCATTTTCTGTATTTTTTTGTTTTGGACAGCCTGTGGAGAGCAAGTGGATATCTTCATCTTGTGAAATTATTGCTTTTCGTAAAGCATTATTGAATCCAGTTACTTCAAGACAGTTTCAACGTTTTGTGGCTCTAAAAGGAGATTTATTAGAAAATGGAGTACTTTTTTGGCAAGAAGTACAAAAATATAAGGTATTGTGTTAGAGAAAACCACTTTTGAGAAAATCTTTCATGAAAAATTTGTATAAAATACCTTAATCTGGCCATCTTCTCTATACCAGCATTTAAGTATCAAGATGTTTATTGTCCATTTTCTAGTCACACTTACTATTTACAATGAAAAGTAAGAGTGAGCCCTAAAATGATAGTACTGAGACTTTTTTAACATATTAATATACATTATGTTTCTTGTTGTTTTGTGCTGGTTCTGGGGCTTGAACCTAGGGCCTCATGCTCTTGCTTAGCTTTCTTGTTCACAGTATTATGCCACTTGAGCCATGCTTCTACTCTGGCATTTTGCAGGCCAATTGGAGATGAAGTCTTGCACATTTATCTTCCCAGGCTAACTTTGAATTTCAGTTCTTCAGATCTCAGCCACCTTGAGTAGCTAGGATCACAGGTGTGAGCCACTAGTTTTCAATGTAATATGCATTTTCACCAAATAAGTATCTTCCTGAAGAGATAGAATCTGTTTTATTAAAAAAAAAGTATGGCTTTAAAATTTTCTTTAGGTAGTTGTACCAAGGGATTGCTATACAACAAAGCAGTTAATGAGTGCAGTGTCACTTGATCAATGTCACACTTTCAACATTCTCACCCACCCCATCCCACCCCACCCCTTCTCTCACTTTTCTTAATTTTTAGGTTATGTGTTGAATTTTTGTTGCCATTTAACAAACTAATTTATGTATACAATACCATCTTGAACATTGCTATCCCTTCAACCACTTTACTCTCCCTTCAACTGCTTTACTCCCCTTCTTACCCACTCATTCCCTTATTTTTCTCAGTTCTTGCCTGCATTCTACTCATACCCCCATTCATTCTTTTACCCATCACTTCTTGTCTTCGCCCCCACTTCCTCCCCACCCCAAATACACACTTCCTAGTACTCATTTTACTCATTTTTGATGTCGCCAAAAGGGAACTCTACTACACTGTTGGTGGGAGTGTAAACTTGTCAACCACTCTGGAAAGAAGTATGAAGGTTTCTCAAAAGACTAAACATAAAGCTTCCCTATGACCCAGCAATTCCACTTCTGGGCATTTACCCAATAGAGCACAAACAGGGATACACTAAAGTCATCACCCACCATGTTTATTGCAGCACTATTTTCTATAACCAAGACATGGAATTAGCCAAGAATGGATCTTTTGTTTGTTTGTTTTGTACCAGTACTGGGGCTTGAATTAAGGGCCTTGTGCTTTTGCTTAGCTTTTCTGCTCAAGGCTGACTCTCTACAACTTTTTTCTGGTGGTTAATTTAAAAATAAGAGCCTCAGTGATTTTTTTTTTCAGTTGTGGGGCTTGAACTCTGGGCCTGGGTTCTGTCCCTCAGCTCTTCAGCTCAAGGCAAGCGCTCTACCACTTGAGCCACAGCACCACTTCTGGTTTTCTAGTGGTTTATTGGAGATAAGAGTCTTACAGACTTTCCTGCCTGGGCTAGCATTGAACCGTGATCCTCAGAACTCAGTCTCCTGAGTAGCTAGGATTATAGGCGTGAGCCACTGGCGCCTGGCTAAGGTTGTCTTTTTTTGTCCTGGGGCTTGAATTTAGAGTGTGAGATTTTTTGCTCAACACTAGCACTCTATCACTTGAGCCACAGCTCTACTTCAGGCTTTTTGGTTGTTAATTGAAAAGAGTCTTACAGACTGGCTTAAAACTGCAATCCTCAGATCTCAGTTTCCTGTGTAGCTAGGATTATAAGAGTGAGCAATTGGTGCCTGGCTTTCAAGGTTTTCTTTTAAGTAATTGATGCCTCATTTTCCTCACGTACAAAAACAAAAACATGCTTTCTCCAATGGACCAATTTGATGAGAATCATACAGAACAAAATGCTATTAAGATTACTTAGGAAAAAAAATCAATTGATTAATGCCCTCATTTTATAATTGAAGATACTAAGTCAATGAAGAAAAATGCCTTGCTTGTTATTCATGCCGGATTCCTGGGGGCCGGGATGTAGCTCAGTGGTCGAGCAATTGCCTAGCATGCATAAAGCATTGGATTTCATCTAAACACGAGCTCACAAATACACAAATCCCACACCTATACTTTTCAATATTTCATAGCAAGCAAAATCATACATCGAGAACAACTGCCACAAAACCCACAGTTTGTTGTTGTTTATGTTGGGTAAGTTGTCTGTAGTTTCTATAGACAATATAATCAGAAGATGTTATATGAAGAATGAAAATTGTGACAACTGTCACTTACACTGTAAATGGTGGTTTATTTGTTTGTTTTTTGGAGTAAATGAATATTAGTGTTTCTTTAACTAAATACAAACTTGTAGTTTCTGGTTCATTCCTATTTTCTTAGATAATGCGTTTAAGTGGTGGCTGGGGGAAGATTCTGCATGAACAGCTGGATGCACCTGTTCTAGTTGAAGTTCAGAAACATGTCCTGAACAGGCTAGAAAATGTGTGGCTGCCATTGTTTCTTGCAAATGAACAGTTTGCAGCACGTCAAAAGATAAAGGTATATAAATGTGTAATCTTTTAATAGCAGTTGAGATGCCTATCAACCAACCAGGAAAAACATCCTGAAGAATATACTTCTTAGAAATGCATTTGGACAGGGAGAGGATTTTTACTTTGTAAAATGGGTTTTTGTTTTGCTTTTTTAAAAAAAATTAAAACAAATATTGCATCATTCAAATGTCCCTAGTATAGCTAAAAACAGGAAAGTCTAATCAGTCAGAAAACTGGTAACTTTGGATCTTAAAGACAAATACCTTTAATGGTAACTAGGAACTATTTGAAATGATTTCCCTTTTCAGATACAATGAAATCAATTGATCAGACACTTTGAGACCTACAGAATTGGACATATCCTTAGTCTTTTGAGCTGAACAACTTAGGGGAAAACAGAATTTTTAGCATGGAGAAAAGCTCACTTGTTTTAGGCAAAATGTTTCTGTAAATAATCTCTCAAATTTCTTTATTCCTTTTCTTTAGGGCAATTCCAGTTTTCTTTCCAAAGCCAATTATATCGACATTGGGCCTACTAATAGTATTTATCACATTTTCTCATTATGTTTACCACAGCAATTTTATTGTAACTTGTAGTTATTTCCTGACTTAGCATTCTTTGGGTGATCAGCAAAATAAACTAATTCTGGAGACCTTAAACAAAAAACAAAAGGAGTGGTATAAACTATTATATTATGGTCTTGGAGTATCTTATATACGACACATAGGAGAAGCAGTAACATCCTAGCTTTAGACAAGATATAGGCCAGGCCAGCCACGGGAACTCAGCAAGAATTCTTAGATCACTGTTCTGAGCTGTGATTATCAAGAAAACTTAATGGTGGGGCTAAAACTGATTAGTACACAATCATGTCTAGCATACATAAGGCCCTGGGTTTGACCCACAGCATTTGTTTAAAAAGAAAAAAAAAAGATTCTGCCCTTGTGATCCTGATCCTTCTTCTCTCGATCATTTCTATGTGTTTTGGACAAGGTAGTAGAGACTTAGCATAGATTTGGCAAGAGCTATTCTCTAAGATAAAATATTATATATTATTATATATAAGCAGAAACTCCAACAAATACAGTCATCTCTTGATGTTTATGGAGTACCTCTGTGGATACCAAAACTCTGAAGATGCTCAAATTCCTCATGTAAAATCTTATAATATTTGCATATAACCCACTCACATCCTTCCTTCCATATATTTTAAATCATTTCAGGATAACTTGTAAAACTAATGCAATACAAATGTTGATTGAATAGCTGTTATACTGTATTGTCTATGGTATAAAAACAAGAAAAAGGTCCATGGATATTCAGAGTAGGCGCAAATTTTTATTTTAATATTTTCATCTCAGCCTGGTTGAATTCACAGAGCATCAATGGTATCTTCTGTTTGTTTCTTTCTGCTGAAAGTTTCTTTGGGGGAAAAAGTTAGTAGGAGAAAAATATGCAGCTAGAGAAGTAGAGTGCTTGCCTAATAAATGCCAGACCATTAATTTAATCTCCAATATGAAAATGGCACAAAACTCTGAGCAGTTATCATGATCACTCCAGAGTCACGTAAGTGAGCCAAAGTGAAACTGTGATGGTTAATTTGGAGCAGAGCAGTTGGGTACTAATACTGTTAGCAAATGAGGACCCTGGGTTCCAAGAATGAGTAACTCAGAGTCCTGACTGCAGGGCTTCAATTTCTCTAATTCTTTTTGTGAATGGCACTCTCTTTCAGTCTAACCTACATCTCACTTTATAAGCTACAAATCAATAATTTCAAAACCCTGAACATTCTGATTAAGTGGATGAAATAATTGGTTTTGCTCTTAGATACAGATGAAAGACATAGCAGATGAGCTTTTACAACAGAAGCATGAAAGGAAAATCGGGGTCTGGAAGGCAAGTAATTATTATACTCTTCCTCTTTTAAGTTCCAGTTTGTCAAAGTATTATTTTTCCTTTCCCTTCTTGTTCAAAGACCTTCCCTGATTTCTAAACCACCAACTGACTACCCATAGCATTCTTTCTTGGCAGATGGAATTTGAGGGAATGTGTGATTCTGTCAGAACTCTGTTCTGAAGGACTCCTTGAACTGTTCAATGGTAGAAGTGTGATTGGTCTTCATGTACATTTCTGCATCAGACTTTGATTGGATCCCCAGCTCAAAACAAAACAAAACAAAAACCCCCCCAAAAACCCAAAACATTTGTTTTGCTTATGATGGGTTTATTGAGGCAAGCTGTTCTCACCAGTGTCTGGTAGCTTATTTATCACTGAGAGTGGATTACACAAAAAGAATGCACACAGCAGAATCAGCAGGTTAATTCATGTTACAATGATTTCCTTTATTTACAATTACAGTTTAACTTTAAAAGTATTATGACTATTATTTTAACAATTATTAAAATCACTATAATATGATACTTTGCTATTTGCCTATTTTACTTTTTAACAAGCATGAGGCACACAGCCTTTTTTTTTTTTTTCTGAACCTACATGATGGAATGTCAAACGAGACTCAAGTAAACTCTTGCAAACTAATAAAAATAAAAATGGGCTGGGAAGGTGGCTCAGTGGTAGAGTGCTTGCCTTGTAAGCATGAAGCCCTAGGTTCAATTCCTCAGCACCACATAAGCAGAAAAAGCCATTGGTGCTGTGGCTCAAATGGTAGAGCACTAGCCTTGAGCTGAAGAGCTGAGGGACAGCACCCAGGCTGAGTTCAGGACCCACAACCGGCAATAATAATAATAAATGTATCAGAATGTTAGTGGAGTGCATGTAGTAGTTAGGGTATAGAGTCTACTTTGATATTTTCCTTTTGAAAGAAGTAATTTTTTAATGACTTTTCAATTATTTTTAATTGGAATACTAAATTGAATGAGCTTGTATTTTATGTTGTTGTGCATTATATATTGTATTATGCTCAATTGAGTTAAATTATAGGTTTTAGTCAAATTACTAAGTTTTACTATCTTAAGAAGCAGGTCTTAAAACATTATTTGTTGAGTGGGTTTTAAATAAACATCCCAGTCTAACTTATAGTTGTTTCTATTTATAAGGCTATCATTGTAATATGGACCAGATGTTAAGGGTCTTAAGTTTTAGTCCACAGAACATGGCATGTGCCTCAATAAATAGTGATAGACATCTCAGCACTTTATCTGGGTTAATGCCACGGCGCTCATCCGGACTGAGCAGAGTGGCCTTCGCTTTGCAGTTCCAACTCACTGTCACCGTGGAGGCCCTCCCCTTTCCAGGCAGACTTAGTCACTCCTGCCTTTGCGTTCCTGTAGCACTTTTGAAATAATTCCCTTAAACAGTTCTAATGCTGGTCACATATGATTTCTTTCAAGGAATTTATTTAATGCATTGTCAACAATAGATATTTTTCATGTAATTTAATCATTAGTATAATTTGTAAGTAAGTCATCTAAACTGTTGCCTTTGGAGTGATAGATCCTTACAGGGTTGTATGCGAAAGTCAGCTTTGGGAAACTTCAATAAAATTGAAAGCTATTTGCTAAATTCAATAAAATCTTTTTTATGTTGTTAAATCTGAGAAGGTAAAGGAAATTGTATGGTTTTTAAATGGGCAAAGAAAAATTAAAATGGGCAAAGAATAAAAAGGAAACATTTCAAAATGGTGAAGATATAATAGGAGTAGATTACAGTACTTTTCAGTTTAGGAAAATACCACAGATACTTCTAGATTTTATGATATGTGAAACAAATCCTCAATCATTTTTTTAAAATCTATTGCTACCACTGGAGCTGTAGCTCAATGATAGAGTACTTTCCTAGCATGTGTAAGATCCTGGATTTGATTCCCAGCATCACAAAATTAATTACCACTTATATGCTTATATTATACCTATTAATAATTACTAAAACAATTTAAAGATGTTCATGTGAAAACATGGTATTTCCAGGATAGAATTACAATGCAGCTTAGTAAAATTTCCATGTAAATTATATAGAATTGATTTTTTAAAACAAATTTTAAAATTGTTTAAATATTCAACTGCTTGCACTTTTTTTTGTCTTTTCTTTTTTGGTACTGGGGATTGAACCCAGGACGTTGCACTTGCTAGGCACGCGCTTTGCCACTGAGCTACATCCCAGCCCTGCTTGCACTTTTTTAAACGTAGGAATGTTTTTCCATGCCTAACCCAGTACCTGTGACTGAGGCAGGAAGATGAGAAATTCAAGGATAACTTGACTGCATACTGAAATTCCCTCTCAAAATCAAATCAAATCAAATAAATAAGCCAGGTGCCAGACTATAGTCCTAGTTATTTGAAAGTCTGAGATTGGAAGGATCACAGTTATAGGGCAGCTGAGGCAGAAAAGTTCAGCCCAGAGCGGAGAGCAGTGGTATGCACCTGTTAAACTGTGATAGAAAGCCTAAAATAGGCACATGGTAGCCCAAACCTGTAACCAGGTGGCTGGACACATGGCTCTGTGGTAAGTACATGTGCCCAGCAAGCACAGGCCTTGAGTTCAGACCTCAGTAGTGCCATATAAAATAAATAAATAAACAATAATTTCTAATAATGCAAAATTGAAAAATAAAAATAGATAAAACATGAATGATAATGAGACATGAATATAAAAGGGAGGCAGTCCATCTCAGAGCCAGCAGGAGAGAGAGAGAGAGGAGGATGCTGAGAAGTGAAATACTGTACTTATATGTATGTGAACACAGCGTATAATGAACCCCATGAAACACTTTGAAAAGGGAGAGAGGAAGAAGGGCACTTGAGTGGATGGTGTGAACTTGCTCAAAGCACAACTGTACACATAGAATTGTCCCCATGAACCCCGTCATAGTATTGATGTATACTAATTCAAAAGTAAAATTAAAAACAAAAATAAACAGCCCAATATATATGTGAATCCTTTTGATTTACTTTCTTTTCTTTCCAGAATTCACAAATGTACTTAAAAGTCATTTTTCCCAGTGGTCCCAAACTGATCTATTAGCATTCTTAAACAATGTACTCATATGTTGTAAATTATCAGTCACTCTTTTTCTACTTTCTAAGGAAGTCTCTTTTAATTTACTTTAAAAATTTTTGTCATAAATAATAAAAATGACACAAGAGAGGAGATCAGAGGGAAAAAAGCTGCCAAATTCTATTGTATTCGTGCTATAAATTTCAATAACTAACATTAAAGGGATAGAAGTTGATCATTTTAGTCTAATCAATGACTTTATTATTATTATTATTGAGAACATAGCTCATTTTCTGTATTTTTTTGTTTTGGACAGCCTGTGGAGAGCAAGTGGATATCTTCATCTTGTGAAATTATTGCTTTTCGTAAAGCATTATTGAATCCAGTTACTTCAAGACAGTTTCAACGTTTTGTGGCTCTAAAAGGAGATTTATTAGAAAATGGAGTACTTTTTTGGCAAGAAGTACAAAAATATAAGGTATTGTGTTAGAGAAAACCACTTTTGAGAAAATCTTTCATGAAAAATTTGTATAAAATACCTTAATCTGGCCATCTTCTCTATACCAGCATTTAAGTATCAAGATGTTTATTGTCCATTTTCTAGTCACACTTACTATTTACAATGAAAAGTAAGAGTGAGCCCTAAAATGATAGTACTGAGACTTTTTTAACATATTAATATACATTATGTTTCTTGTTGTTTTGTGCTGGTTCTGGGGCTTGAACCTAGGGCCTCATGCTCTTGCTTAGCTTTCTTGTTCACAGTATTATGCCACTTGAGCCATGCTTCTACTCTGGCATTTTGCAGGCCAATTGGAGATGAAGTCTTGCACATTTATCTTCCCAGGCTAACTTTGAATTTCAGTTCTTCAGATCTCAGCCACCTTGAGTAGCTAGGATCACAGGTGTGAGCCACTAGTTTTCAATGTAATATGCATTTTCACCAAATAAGTATCTTCCTGAAGAGATAGAATCTGTTTTATTAAAAAAAAAGTATGGCTTTAAAATTTTCTTTAGGTAGTTGTACCAAGGGATTGCTATACAACAAAGCAGTTAATGAGTGCAGTGTCACTTGATCAATGTCACACTTTCAACATTCTCACCCACCCCATCCCACCCCACCCCTTCTCTCACTTTTCTTAATTTTTAGGTTATGTGTTGAATTTTTGTTGCCATTTAACAAACTAATTTATGTATACAATACCATCTTGAACATTGCTATCCCTTCAACCACTTTACTCTCCCTTCAACTGCTTTACTCCCCTTCTTACCCACTCATTCCCTTATTTTTCTCAGTTCTTGCCTGCATTCTACTCATACCCCCATTCATTCTTTTACCCATCACTTCTTGTCTTCGCCCCCACTTCCTCCCCACCCCAAATACACACTTCCTAGTACTCATTTTACTCATTTTTGATGTCGCCAAAAGGGAACTCTACTACACTGTTGGTGGGAGTGTAAACTTGTCAACCACTCTGGAAAGAAGTATGAAGGTTTCTCAAAAGACTAAACATAAAGCTTCCCTATGACCCAGCAATTCCACTTCTGGGCATTTACCCAATAGAGCACAAACAGGGATACACTAAAGTCATCACCCACCATGTTTATTGCAGCACTATTTTCTATAACCAAGACATGGAATTAGCCAAGAATGGATCTTTTGTTTGTTTGTTTTGTACCAGTACTGGGGCTTGAATTAAGGGCCTTGTGCTTTTGCTTAGCTTTTCTGCTCAAGGCTGACTCTCTACAACTTTTTTCTGGTGGTTAATTTAAAAATAAGAGCCTCAGTGATTTTTTTTTTTTTTACTGCTCAGGCTAGCTTTGAACTTTTATCCTCAGATATCAGCCTTTTGATGCTAGGATTACAGGTGTAAACCACCAATACCTGCTCTGATAAAATTAGTTTTCACTTTGTTTTCAACTCACATATCTACTAATGTACCATCCACACTTCCCCCCAAGACTTGAGGATTCTTTAGCCACAAAGCTATGCTGCTCCCAGTTAATAACTGTGGCAATTTGCAAAGATATGATTGGTGTTCATTGTAGTGGAGCCTTCTTCTTGACTTTGAAAAATCAGACAGATTCAGATATACAATGGAACATTGGTTACTTAATTATAATGTTTCTTTTAACTGAATACTCTTCAGTCAATAAGAAAAATATGTCGTAGGAGAAAAATCAATGATAGAAAATATGCTTATATATTTTATTTCTTTAAACCAGGTACTAGAAAGCAGTATTATTTAATCTAAAATATATGTTCCTGTGTACATCCATAGAGAAAAAAATTGTGAGGGCCAGGCTGAATCCTCAGTGTACAACAATAATGAAAACAGTCCTCTTCTTAGAGCTTATGGTGTCAAGGGAGGGACATAGGGTTGGTAAACAAGGCAGCGGTCAGACTGGGATGAGGACCACACAGTAGAAAGCCTAGGATGCTAGGAAAATGGTAATATGGACTTCTCTCCTAGACTGAAAGAATCACAGAAAATTTGTACTATTTGTCCTGTATATAAATTTATCTGATTTGGGGAGGGGAAAAGGAAACACAGAAAGCGTGGGACAAAGGGTGAACTAATTCAGTAATACTAGACACTATGTTGGAAATGAACTGTACACCTTGTAAAGAGAGGGCTGGGAAGGTGGCTCAGTGGTAAAGCACTTGCCTTGCATGCTTGAGGTCGCCTTGGGTTCGATTCCTCAGCAACCATAAGCAAAAAAACAAGCCGGAAGTGGCGCTGTGGCTCAAGTGGTAGAGCGCTAGCCTTGAGCTGAAGAGCTGAGGGGCAGCGCCCAGGCTCAGAGTTCAGGCCCCATGACCGGACCCAAAATAAAAACCAAAACAAACAACTTGTGAGGAGAGGTGTTGGGAGGGAAAAAAAAAACTGGGAGAAAATGAGGGAGGGGTGACATTGTTAGAAATATATATATACTCATTACCTGACTTACATAACTGCAACCCCTCTGGACATCACCTAATAAAATAAAAAACTTACTAGAAGGAAGCTGGATGCCAGTGGATCATACCTGTAATCCTAGCTACTTGGGAGGTTGAGATTTGAGGATCACAGTTTATAGAAAGCCTAGGTAGGAAAGTTGTGAGACTCTACTTCCAATAAATAGCAAAAAGCTAGGCTGGAAGCATAGCTTAAGTGGTAGAACACAAGTCATGCATAAACAGGCTAAGTGAGATCATGAAGCCCTGATTTCAAGCCCAGTACCAGAACACACAGACTTGCATATAAAGTTACCTCATTTCTGTCTTAGAAATGAGAAGTTTCCGAATTTTACTATTAACTGATTTAAGAACCTATCTTGAACATAAAAATGCTATAATTCAAGCTAATCTATCTCTTTATTAAGAAAAAGGAAAAATAACCTTATATCTGTGACTTTAAAACTGGCTCATGCTAATGCAGAGCTTTTATTTTTATATTTTTTTATAGAGAGGATAGTGTGAGGTGATAGCTGAAACAATATCAATACCAAACAATCTATAAAGACCACCAAGCTCACTTCTGTTGCTAGCCTTCTCAAGGAGCAGTGCACATGGGAAAACTTGTGCACACTCCTGTAGAATCCACCGGATTTAGTGCCTCAAGTCAGCATTTCTCCTACAGCCCTCAGGGAGATCTGCCTACGTAACACTTATTTGCTATCCTAAGTCTTAGGAAAGTGTCCCAGAATTCTCTTGCATAGAGATTGAACCCTTTAAGGGCACGGATGGTATCTGGAGGCTCAACTCAGTGTCTGGCATGGAGCAGGTACTCAATATATAGTGGTTAAGTAAATCAGAATAGGCACTAAAGCTGTTTGTTCCTTTGTGTAGGGAAAATAGGTGATCAGGATTATGTGAAAGGTATTCTACCACATGAACCATGCCCCCAGCCCCAAATATTGTGTTTTTATAAAGACAATCCTGACATGTCCCAGTACCTGATGTAAACCTTTATTACCTGAAACATGGACAAGCTTGGTAAAGAGTTCTAGTAATACACTAATCATTCTATTCTGTCTTTCTCCCTTTTTATTCAGGATTTGTGCCACTCCCATTGTAGTGAGTCTGTCATCCAACAGAAGATCACGACAATCATCAACTGCTTCATTAACTCCTGTATTCCACCCGCCTTACAAATTGACATTCCAATAGAGCAAGCCCAGAAGATTATTGAACACAGGAAAGAGTTAGGGCCATATATATTCAGAGAGGCACAGGTAAGAGATCAGGACAGGTGGCTAAGCATATTTCAAGTGGATTGCAATCAAATATTCTTTAAAAATGTATTCATATTTAGCAAGATTTTAGTCCTCCAAATGCTGGGATATATTCTGCTTCATTTAAATAATCTTTGCATATGCCATGAAAATATAAGAAATTAGTAACTTCAATGTCATTTTGTTGATAATATGCAGCAATAAAATTAAAATGTACTTTGACTTTCAAGAATTACCATTTTTGTTTCCAGATTATTAAAAATATTCCAGCTAATTCTTTCTTCCTTTCCCACCATTCAGATTTCCTTTTAAAAAATCTACTACCACAAAAAATGTGTAAAATATTTGGGTCCTAAAATTTGTATATTTTTAAAGGTTGGAATATCCACGTAGCTTATAAAATAAGTGAGAGGAGATTTAAGTACTCAATCCACACAAAGTACACAGACTCATGAAAGGAAAATCATGACTGCTGACCTGCTCAAATTACTTCTTTTTAAGATAAATAATAGCAAACATTGACTTAGTGAACATAATTTATATGCATTTTGAAAAGCCTTTTAGTGATGTTGTTCCTAAAAAATGATTAAGAAAAATAAATTATAATAGGGGCAGTAGGGAAGGCCATGTCATGAATTGATAGGAAACAGATTTAGAGTAGGATTGCCCCGAGCATGGAACAGCATTACTCCTTAACATTCCTTTGCAAACCAGCTGTGTTCAAAGTTCCTCTAAGGGATCCAAAGTGAACTCAACATGCTACATTATTCACTAACACAGGCAAAAACACAGAGGAATGATTGAGGATGTGCTGTGAGCAATAGATAAAACATGGCGCCATGTAGCATCTCTTGATGAAAAGATCCAAAAGACCCCAAGCACTGATGAACTAGACCAGGACTTTACCCATCGATGTCAAAGACCTTGAGTCTGAACGGAGATGTCTGGAACTGCCCACCCAGCTGACTCTGACACTCTTCAGGAACTGCAGCCTCTAGCTGTAGAACTCATATTCTCTAGCATCTGACTTCACTTGATTTTCTAAAATGAAGTCATAGCTTAAATAAAGACTTTAGAGCATCAGAAGAGACAGACTATTTAAGGATCACATCCCTCCAAATCTATTATTCTCCCTGTTTTCCTAAAGGAAGCTTAGAGAATAGTGTCACTCCTACCCCTGTATACAAGACAGAGATCCCGTTTCCACCTTCATGCCTTCCACCCCCTTTATTCCCTTACTCCACTTATCAGTTCCTAATTTTTACCCATTTTTCTCCTGTTTGTGTCATTCTATCCACTTTTCTCCAGCCACACACCACTATACCACTATCTCACTTCAGATCTGCAACATGTATCACATGAATTACTAAAACTCCCAACTCTCTCCATATTAACTGTACACAGTGCACACTGCTTTAAAATGTGTACCTGTCACTTCTCTGCTTAAAACAATCAGGTATTGTTTTTTAGGTATTCCTACATACCTATGAAGCTGCATCTCTGTTTACTTCCTGCTGTCTCTCCAGTCTCTCTGAAATATCTGTAGTTCCACAGTTTTCCTCCTGAGCATTATTGTGTTTATTCGTGTCATAAGACTTATCACACGAAATTGAAAGCCACTTTCCTCTGTCTATCTCATTGCATTGTAAAGATTTTGAGGACAGGGAATGTTTCTTATTTAATTTTGTGGCCCAAATGCCTGGCAAAGGGTAGGCATTTTTGACCACATGGGTGAGTTATGTGAGATGAATGATGTGAGAAAAAAGAGTGAGATTAAATTGGAAATGAGCAAGTTGAACAAAAGAGATGAATAGTAAATGAAAAATTAGCTTTGTTTCAGTGTAGTCTCTATCTCCCACACTCACTGCCAATAGTCTAAAAACCATATTTTCACAGGTCTCTTTACTCATTAAAACCATTACTCATCTGCTGGCAGTAAGCAAAGCAGTCTGTATTTATTAAAAATATTTTCTAGCTGAGCATGGTGGCTCATGCTTATAATCTTAGCTACTTGGGAGGCAGAGATCAGAAGGATTGTGGTTTGAGGCCAGCCCAAACAAAAAGTTCATGAGACTCCATCACAACCACTACCACTACCACCAGCAACAGCAACAACAACAACAATAATAATAGCTGGGAACAGCATGCAATCCTAAGTTTAAATCCCAGTACTGAAAACAAATAAACAAAGCCTGAGTACAGTGGCAAGTAACTGTCATCCCAGCTATGTGGTAAGTATAAATAGAAGGATCATGAACCAGGGACAGGGCATAAAGAAACATAACACAAACGACAGGAGTTGACGGTAGGCTTAAGTGGTAGTGTACTGGGCAGCAGGCCTTGAATTCAAATCACAGTTGCCTTTGTTTATTGTGCAGGTTCTGGGGCTTGAACTCAAAGCCTGGGCACTGTCCCTGAGCTTTTTAGTTCAAGGCTAGTGCATACCATTGAATCACAGCTCCCCTTCTGGCTTTCTGGCTTTTTGGTAAAGAATTTTACAGACTTTCTTGACTAGGCTGGCTTTGAACTGTAATCCTCAGATCTCAACCTCCTGAATAACTAGGATTACAGGTGTGAGCCTCTAGTGCTCAACTTCATTCTTTCTCCCAACCAACAATTTGGTAATTTTTTAAATTCAGAGAGGCACAGAGTAATGTGAAGCATTTTTTGTGGTGGTGGCAGGGCTGGTATTTGAACTCAGAATCTTACTCTTGCTAGGTTGGAGCTCTACCGCATGATCCAGGCTTCATACCCTGTTTCTTTTGCCAGTTATTATTGAGAATAGGGTCTCACTCTCTGTTGTGGCTAGTGTCTGAGCTGTAGTTTTCTGACTTTTGGCTTCCTGTTGTTTCTTGGATCAAAGTATGCATCACCACCATGTCCAGCTTCCATACATGGAGATGGAGTCTTGGAGACATTCATTCCCAGGGTTGGCCTAAAACTGTAATCCTCTCAATCTCAGCCATGGGTATAGCTTTGGAGGGTAGGTGCATGGTATTGTGCAAAGCTATGGGTTCAGAAAGGACATCAATAACTTTTCTGCATCATCAGGCCTCAAACCCAGATCCTTCCATCCTTAACCTCCCAAGTAGCAAGGGAAATAGGCATGAGCCACAATGCCTGGCCAGGGTAATGTTTATTAATAATAGATATAACCTAAAACCCCTATTACAATTTTGGGGAGTATAGTGGTTTTATGCCTTTTATTAAAGTTCATAATAACTGCTATGTCCACTGAACAGTAGAACAGGAAATTACTTCATTCAATGTATATCAAGTAAAGGTAGATGAAAATTTCTTAGCCTTGCATTTCATCAAACGAAGTATCTTAGATTCTCTCCATATTCCCAAGCAGCTATAGAATTCAATAACACAACTATGTTTTGTATTTGGCCATTGTTTTATTTATTGATTTTTCAACTTGGGAAATTATCTTTAGTTAAACAAAGGAATTGCCACTTAACAAAGCAGTTTATGAATATAATACATCTTGATCAATGTCACCCCTTTCAACATTCTCACTCAGCCCTCCCTTATCCATCCCTTCCCTCACTCTTTTTAATTTGGCAGGATATACATTGGATTCTTGACTGCATTCTCCCCCTCTTCTCCAAATACAACTATTTTTAAAGGAGTGAAAATTTTAGAATTACTAATAACATTCATGCATGGAAAAGAGGGATAGTGAAGTATGCTGACTCAGGACTGTGCCTTACCACAGTGTTTCCTTAAAAACAAACAAACCCAAAAATCCCGAAATTTCTCTTTTCCCCCAAAAGTTGGCTAGTAGCCTAATGGGATGGTTCATTTTTCTTCACAGCTTTAGGTAAAGGCTGTTCCTTGCTGTTGGCCTTGATCTAGTGTGGCAAATAAGTTCTACCTCCTGGAAGTAATGTACACTTCTGGAACTAATGGAAAAACTTAGCCTGGGAATTCCAGCAACCATTCTTATCTCCATAAATATCATAATTAATCATTTAACGTAAAGTATCCTCATAGAAAGCATTTGTCTAGGATACCATTCTGTGTTTTAAATGTTACTTTTCTTGCTTTCACATAAAAGAGAGATTATATCATTTTAAAGTTACTCAAGATTTATTCTTAGATCTGCAGCTTTGTTTAAGAGCTTTTCCAGAGGCAAAATGGTATTTCCTTTCTCTAAAAGAAAGGGGTGGGGGGAAATGTCCCTCAATGAACTGAATACTTGGAATACTTGCATAAAACAGCAGTGTGTGGTACACCAACTAGGATGTTTTAAAAGAAAACATAAATTTCTTATTTAAAAAGACCTAATGGATTCTTCAATTGGTTAGGGAAACATGAAGAATAAGGTTACTTTTAAGTGTGTTTGGTATGTGTGTGTGTGAGAGAGAGTGTGTGTGAGTTAAAGAAAGACTTATCGTTGGTTATAAAAAAAACATTGATGATAAGCATGTGCTGAGCTAAACTGTATTGGGAAGTCTGGAGACAATAAATTGAAGGAAACATGGTGTGTATTAAAGATAGAATAGTTAATCCATTATTATAGTGAATTAGAGTTTAAATCAGTACATTTATATAGAACTGCAATCTAAGACATATTGTGCTTTTTTTACACAGATGACAATTTTTGGGGTTCTGTTTAAATATTGGTCACAGTTTTGTGAGTTTAGCAAGAATTTAACTGATGATAAAATTATGAGTGTTTTAGAGAGAAGACAGGAATATAAACAGAAAAAGAAAATATCACTCCTCGATGAAGAGAAATTTGGAAAGGTAAGACAAGACTCAATTTGGAGCCAATTACACTTTTTAAAGATAGATGATATGCACTAATTTGTAGAATTGGGGCTGGGGAATTTACAGAGTAGTTAAACATATAGATTTCAGTGACATTTAAGCCTTTATTCAGAGGTTTGGGGGCACTTTTGAATTCTCAGAATTCATTTTGTAATGGCTGACCTCTGGGGATTTCACTGTCACATTTGGCCACATACCCCAAAGCAAGCAAGCAATGTAATGGTTAGTGGGCAGGAAAGGAATGATCATTTAGAGAAGACAGAAATCAAACATTTAAGCCCACGCTGGCTATGGACAAGAAGTTTAGGTTTAAATAGAAGAAGAAGTCAAGGGGTAAGGAGAGCATGTCTTTAAGCAGTCCTGGTGGCACTGTGATCTGATCATTATCAGAGTTCTGGTTCTGGAAAGTGGCCTTAGGAGAGTCTTGGTGGATGGGAGGACATCTAGCTCTCATGAAGTGATCATCCTGTTTGAGGGTGATCTCATCACGGGGTCATCTGTCTGTGAACCTCTGCCATTCCTGGAATCATCGGGATAGGAAAACAACTGGAGACTTACAGATACTTTTTCTGGGATCTAAAACAGGACATCATAAATGCTGGTAGTAGATTCCTCCATTTATCTTTGTATCTTCAGCATTGATGGGGATGGGATGGGTGTCAGCAGGTTTTACATTCTTGAATGATTAACATGCCCACAATCAGCGTGAAACACAAGTCTGACCCATTGTAAGAGAGACACAAAATGAAGGCGGAAATGTCAGGGTTTTCCCTCCTTTTAGTTATATTGTGGGCCCAAATGCTTTTTAGAAACAGCTTCTAAGCACCAGATACAATTTCTTGGGCCAAGTCTCTACCCAAGGCTTCCTTGGCTCTCTCTCCTGGGCAGCATTGGCTGCTTGCATCCGCTGCTATGATGCTCCACCTTAGAAAGCACACTGCTATTGTCCCACAGCCAGGGTTTTCCAGCTGCCATGTGAGCATGATGGAGAGACTCAAAAACAGCCTATGATGTATTGCAGAAGCATTTATACTTTTCCCTAGCACATGACCAATAATTAATCCCTAATAAATCAGGGATTGAATAAATAGATAACGAATTCCTGAGTAGCATATCCAATATTAAAATTGCAGAATGACACACTGAGAATATTGGCTAGACTACTTCCATTTCTACAGAGAATCCTGGATTATGTTTATAGCATGTACCTTGTGCTTGGGCATGGAAATGTAATGCCCTTAATTGATGTTCTCATTGGTTCCTGTAACTTAACTGGCAGAGCACAGATATTGACAACTGAAAAGAAACTCTTGTATAGTGGATACTCTAAAGAAAAAATGGAATTCTACTTTGAATACTTTTTTTTTTTTTAACTCAGAGTCTCAGTATGCAGTGACCCAAACTAGCCTTATTCTTGCAGTCATGCTGCCCCTGGCTCCCAAGTGCTGGAATCACACCTGGCTGCTTTTTGTTTGTTTGTTTGTTTTATTGGTAATACTAGGGGTTGAATTCAAGATGGATACTCTACCACTTGAGCCCTGCACCTAGCTCTTTTTGCTCTGGTTACTTTCGATTAAGTTCTCACTATTTGCTCAGGCTGGCCTGAACTAGCTGGCCCACCAAAGGTGGACTGACAGGCAGCTCTCACTATGTACAGCTTTTTCTATTGCTATAGGTCTTGGGAACTATTTTGCCTGCACTGGTATAGAACTGCAATCCTGATCTCAGCCTGCAGATACTTTTCATTCCTTTCCTCTTTCTCCTTTCCCCTTTCCTTTCCCTTTCTTTTTCTTTCCTTCCCTTTCCTTTTCTTTCCTTTCTGTTTTTAAATGGAGTCTTACTGTTTCCCAGGCTGGTCTCAAACTTAAGCAATCTTCTTGCCTCAGCCTCTCAAGTGGCTGAGATGATAGGTGTATGTCGCTGTAGCCAACTGCTTTTAAATACTCTTATTTTATACAATATACACACTGGCATCACTTACTAGCAATTGCAGATTTTACAAATGTCATTTATTTTCATGTGGGAAAAGTAAGGAAGACTAATGTAGTAGCGGATGCTCATTCCATGGAAAGTAAATGCTAGAAAAATGAATGTAAGAAACCAATTGTTGTTGTTGTTGTTTGGAACATACCTGCAAAGCAATGCATTGAGTTCAACCCTCTGTACCACCAAAAACAAAAAAATGGGAAGAAAAGAACAATAGAAAAGGAAAGGAGGGAAGGGGAGGAAGAAAATGTGTTTGTAAACCATGAGATTTCTTAAGGTAATTCTGAGCATGATTCTTAACTTTGAACCTCAATTTCATATAGCAACCAATAGTGAAATTATTAATGATTTGAGAGGATTAATTGACATTATATATGCAAACTATTTTACTATATATACATTTTTACTTTTTACATCAACTTTATTCTCAGGGCAACCTGTGAGTGTTAACAAACCCTCAAATTGCCAACTCTTGTAGGAATCATATTCCTTCTTACAGGTACCAAAATCTCATATTCAGCAATGAGTTCTGAGTTGCAAAAGAGGATTTACTGTTTGCACCTGTCTGTAATTTATTACATAATTTTAAGTGCTCTTTGGGTTTTGTTTTGCTTTGTTTTATTGTTGCTGGTACCACAGTTTGAGCCATGCCTCTAGCCTGGCTTTTTGGAGATGGAGTCTCTCAGATCTTTCTGCCTGGACTGGTTTTGAACATGATCCTCTAGATAGTAGTCTCCTGAGTCACTAGGATTACAGATGTGAACTCCAGCCCAGCTAGAGCTTCATATTCTGAAGGAAGTTATAGTAGGAGAAAGAATCCCATGAAAAAGTTTCACTTAGTTCAGTATCAAGTAGTTGGTCAGTATAAAATTCATTAACAATGGATGACAATGATTTAACTAATAAAAGTTTTAAACTTTTAAATGGCAAAAATAAACAAGACTAGAAGACAAATTGGGAAACGTAATGTATGATGTAAGTTGTAAAAATAAATCTGAGGAAAGATAAACACTCTTAACAGGAATTTGGGCAAGAAGTACTAACAAGCAGTTTGCAAAAGGAATACAAATGTCTAAAAACATTAAAAGGTATTTAACCTTGCTAGTAACCAAAGATATGAAGACTAGCAAAGAAGAAAATGTTGGCAAGGCCTACTTTGGGAAAAAAAATGTATATAAACTCATATATCATAGGAGAAAATAAGAAGTAGTACTTTCTTTTGCTTTCCTCCCTCCCTTCCTCCCATCCTTCCTTTCTCCCTCTCGCTCTCCCTCCCTCCCTCCCTCCCTCCCTCCCTTCCTTCCTTCCTTCCTTCCTTCCTTCCTTCCTTCCTTCCTTCCTTTTTTTTTTCTTTTTCTGGGCTTGACATGTGATTTGCACTTGCTGGACTGGCACTCTACTTCTTGAACTACTCCTCCAGTGAAGCTTTTTGCTGGTTATTTTGGAGATGGGAGATGAAATCTAAGAGACCTTTTTCCCTAGGCTGGCTTCAAACCATGATCTCTAGATGCTAGTTCAATAGCTAGAACTAAAGATTGAGCTCCACTGGTTCTTTTTAAACATCAGTTGATGACACACATTGTTTAAAATATGTGTTGTGGGACTTGAACTCTGAGCCTGGGTGCTGTCCCTCAGCTCTTCAGCTCAAGGCTAGTACTCCACCACTTGAGCCACAGTGCCACTTCCAGCTTTTTCTGTTTATGTGGTGCTGAGGAATCGAACCTAGGGCCTCATGCATGCAAGGCAAGTTTTCTACCACTGAGCTAAATTCCCAGCATGATCATTTTTTTAAATTGACAAACACACTTTTAGAAATTATTATAAAAGAGAAAAGTAGTACAACTACACAGAGATGTACATGCGATATCATCTATAGTAGTTTTAAAATATAGCTAGAGATGATGGAAGTTTCTCATCAGAGGCATTAGGCAGAGCAGCTACAGGTAAAAAATAATGACACAGCATTTATAAAGCCATTTAACCATTGAAAGTGATTATGCAATTTCTTCATGCCATCATCCTCCAAAGGCTTTATTGCCCTCTGTGTGACAAATATCACATGCTGGTGAGCAGTGAAATGCCTGCTGGCATTCCTGCTCTGTATCCCTCTACATACAACATATTTACATGAGAAAAAAAACCAGATCTGAATAGAGCACATAGAGTTTCATTCAATTTGTATGAAGTTTATGCTATAAACTAGAAATGTTTATTAAAATTACAGATTATACACCTATGTATTTTTCCTAATGAGATGTCTGGAGGGTTGTTTATGAAAATATTTACTGTGGTTTTTCTTGTTTGTGAGAACTTGGGAAGGACTTTAACATTCAACTTCATCATTTATCTCATTCATTTTAAAGTGCTTTTGTATTCCTCTGAAAGAAAATTAAAGATCAAAGTGATGGTAACTTGGTAAAATCTCAAATGTAGCACCCAGTGTGTATCGTTTTGTATGATGCTATGATTGCCTAACTGAAAGTTTAAATTAACATAGCATTATCCTTTCTTAGAATAATCTAATCTAATTTAATTATAGGTTGGAGCCAAACCAAGTACCATAATGTCTGCTACCAAAACTGTGTTACCCAGTGAATCTAGCTTAGGTCTGCAAGCATATGGCCGACAGGTAAGCATATGAGGGAACAACTTTAACTACCTCTCTAGAGCGATGCACTTCCTGAACAACACTAGAAGTGTGCTTATTTGAAAGCAGCGCTAAACTTACAATAGAGGGATTGTAAGAGGATGTCCTTGAGCCTTTATTGGGCATTAAAATTTCAACTGACTGTGGATAATATAATCAAGAAAATTAACTCTTTGAAATACCAGAAAATTTAAGTTGTAGACATTGAAATGACAATTATATTGAAAAGGATCACTAAGCTATAATAGAACAAGATAGACTAAATAGATTTTGTATTCTTATGTTAAGGGATGACAGAAGAGTATCAGAAGAGTATCAAAGGCTTAGTCTCAGTTCCTTTTTATTTTTTATTTTTTGCTTGAACTCAGGGCTTGGGCACTGTCCCTGAGCCTCTTTTGTTCAAGGCTAGCACTCTACCACTTGAGCCACAGCACCACTTTGCACTTTTTCTGTGTATATGGTACTGAGGAATCAAACCCAGGACTTCATGCATGCTAGGCAAACACTCTACCTCTAAACCACATTCTCAATCCAAGTCTCAATTTCCTAATTCTTTGAAGTGGTCATAAAATTGCCTGATACATAACCATCAACTAGGTCATTTACAATTTTTATGTTTACATTTCTGTTAGCATACATTATCAATGCAAGGAGGGTGTTCTTTGTGATAATTCCATGGATAAATATATTTTGATTGACTCTATAGCCTTTCTTAATACTCATTCTCAAACAGTATTTGGTAGGTTTTATTTCAATAAATACATATATACACATAAACAAGTATACATTGTACACATGTATATGTATATATCCATATTCATATATGTGCATTTATACACACATAATATGTCTATGTGTGTCTACACATCTATATGTAGGCACATATAAATACATATGTGCTTGTATATATTTATACATGTGTGTGAGTGTGTGTGCTGTGTGAGCCTGCTTACTTACCTGACAAAAAAGGAAAAAGGGAAATGATGACGATAAAGGCGATGATGTCAACGATGATGATGATGATGATGAGCATATTGAGAATAATCAAGACTTAGATAGTTCAAGAGTTTTGAAGAAAACTGAAATACTTGGGCATTTGATAAACAGAATAATTATTATACTATTTATCATTATAATTTTGTACTTAAAATACACATAGTCTAGCAATTTGTAAAATAACCATATACTACCATTTACAAATGTACCTCCCTGCTATTATACGAATTTGTTTCAGGTAGATTTTGCACATTAATAAAACTGGCTGAGAAGTTCAAGTGAGAGCTTCTGCTCAGCAAATATAAGGCCCTGATATCACCACACATACACACAAAGAATTCTAATTAATCCTGCACATTAAGAATTCTAATTGCTGGGTACTGGTGGCTCACACCTGTAATCCTAGCTACTAAGGAGGCTGAGACCTGAGAACTGCGGTCTGAAGCCAGCCCAGGCAGGAAAGTCTGTGAAACTGTTGTCTATGATAAAGTGCTCAGATAAAAAAGCTGGAAGTGGCTCAAGTGGTAGAGCACTAGCCTTGAGCAAAAGTAAATCAGGAACAGAGCTCAGGCCCTGAGTTCAAGCCCCAGGACTGGCGCTAAAGGAAGAGAGAGACAGAGACAGAGACAGACAGAAAGGGAGGGAGGGAGGGAGAAAGGGAGAAAGGGAAGAAGGAAGAAAGAAAAGGAAGGAAGGAAGGAAGGAAGGAAGGAAGGAAGGAAGGAAGGGAGGGAGGGAGGGAGGGAGGGAGGGAGGGAGGTAAAGAATTCAAATTAACATGATTAATTATAATTCATCCAAATGCAAAATTATCTTCCCTTAAAAAGACTTTAATCTTTCATAAGAACCTACATTCATAAATAAGTTTATGTAAAGCTGACTGAATAACCATCAAGACATCTGCAAAGCTTTGTGAGGACGAGTCGCTGAGGATGATGGGTGCTGCCATCCTCCCAGCTCAATGTCTCGTCAGGGTTGAGGCCAAGGATATAGGAAAGGTGCCTTCACTTCATCACATTCTTATGAAAGTGGGTAAGGGAGATTGAGGATGATTTGTAGTACCCAGTTAGAGGTAAATTCAGTTTTTGAAAATCCATACTAGTACAGTTTGTGTTAGGTGCATTTTTTTCCCTTTCTTTTTCTCTGGATTTAGGGCCTCTCCTTGCCAGGAGGCTCTGTACCATTGAGCCATGTCCCCACCTTTTGTTGTGCATTGGTTATTCTTGAGAGAAGACCTTGCTTCCTACCTGGGCATGATCTGCCTATTTTAGGCTTCTCTACTAAAATAATAGTTGGGGAGGGTTGAGAAAGAGATCCTGAGAACTTTTCTGCCCAAGCTGCCCACAAACTATGATCCTCACACATCTTAGCCTCCCACGTAACTAGGATTAACAACATCCAGCTTAATGCACTTTTCTTTAATATGTCATATGTTAATTTTAAACAAAGGGACTGATAATAAGTGGTTTTACCTTCAGTTTATTTCTTGAGGGAAAAGATTCCAGAATTAACATAAGAAATTCTTCTCCTAGCCAACCTGGTGCTACTCAAAGTACATAGAAGCATTGGAACAGGAAAGAATTCTTCTTAAAATCCAAGAGGATCTGGAAAGGAAGATGTTCACAGGTAACTTTTGCTCTTTGTATGTGCAAGCACAATTGTTTTGTTATCTTCCATCACAGATTAATTTTATGAATTTTCTCATGATTATCTTCCTGATTTTCTAATTTATCTTTGTGCAGGTACAACATCTCTCACAAATTTTTTGAAGTCTACTGGTTCACCTATGACTTTGAAGAAGAATGTGTCTCTCCATTCCTTCCAGAGTGAGTTTCCAGTGAGAGTCCATTTTCATTTCTATCTTTCTTATTCCTCTAACTTTCTTTCTTCTGTCAAGGACAAGCTAAGATATGTAACTGGCATCTCCTCTCTTTTCTAGAGTAACCATATGTTACTGTGATCACATCCACTTCTGATCCCCAAGGTAAGTCCTAGGCTGAGATTTGTTCAGCCCTCTGCACACATATCCTTCTACACATTCACACATCTGCACACATACCACATGTACAAGTACCCCTTCACACACACACACACACACACACACAGAGCAAATCAATGGGCAGAAACAGCTCGCTTTCCTTCTGAGAGGTAAGCCCTCTGGACAAACAATCCCTTCCCAGAGGAATCATTGTTTGCTTCTATTCACTTATTAGCAATTATTTTCTCTCACAAAGAACAAGCCAGAACTAAACTCCCACACAGATATTCATGCACTTCTAGAGTTTTGGTTGTATATTAATCTTCAAGTTTAACAAGGCCTTTCTAGTGGTGCGATGTACTGTGCGAAGCCCATTGGCAGGTACTTGAAGAAAGCCATAGAAGGTCCTTCTTAACTCCTGTATTGCAGATTAGTTTTGGATGTCTCAGAACATGTGGTTTTCTGCTTTGGGGAGGTAGACCTCAATGTTCTCAGTCTATTCATTTGTTTTTTCCTCTCCTCTACTTTAGTCTAGACACTAGATTCTAGGCATCTCCTAGTTCCCCCACCCTCTTTCTTAGACCTTATAATGACCCCAACATTTAGGATAGTGCTTTTTTGATGCCATGAAAACTATTTTATTTGTCATCATTGTTTACATTTTGTATACATGTTTATGTTTCACCCATGTGTTTTTCTTTTACAGGAATTCTTTCACTGACACAAGAAGCTCAAGTGGTTGATTTTTATGGCCTGTATTACTCTAGAATAAAATGATTGCCATGAGCTTTTAGTGTAATGTGATATTATGCCCCTCAGTAATATTTCTTGAACATTTACTGTATCTGAGTAGTAGGTAAGTTCAGCAGGTGATGATGAGATGTGAATATTCTTAATGATAAATTGATCCAAAACATAAAGGGAACAGCCTTCCAAACCAAGGCCCCTCTGGGAAAGAACTATATTGAAGCAGTGGTTCTCACACTTCTGTGTCCAGTGGACTTACCTGCGACATTGGCTGGCCTCCTTCCTTACTCCGCTCCCAGAAGATCTCATGCAAGTGTTCTACACATCTTTCTTTGACACACACTGTTAGGTTAGGAAGGAAGTACTTGTAAATTGCAGGAGAATTTGTCGAAAAAAAAAAGAGAACCTTCCCATACTTGTTCCTGGAGGGAATGGAGAATGTGGAAATTACTTTAGCAGGGGCATCCATGGACCTCATAACACCAAAGACACCCAACTTTACCAGACTAAAGTCAATGAACCTCCAGTCTTATAACATCCCGTGTCTTCAAGCTGCAACTGCCATTCCAAATAGGAGTTTGACGTTTTATGTTTTGTTTTGAGAAGGGTTCTTGTGAGGTAGCTCAGGCTGGCTTAGAATTCATAATCATCCATTCTTTGCCTCTGAAATACTGGGATTACTGGTGTGCACCATCAGGCCAGGCAGGAGTTAGACATTTTAAGTGGAGAAAGTATCAGAAGACATACTTGAGAGATCATCTTCCTTGTAAATCCACGGCTTTGGAATACCTTTTAAAGTCATTGGAATGGCATATTCCCCATGCTTCCCATAGACCCCATGAGGTTCCTGACTGCTTTCGATTCATTTCCTTGTCTTCCATCTTTCTTCATTTTGTCTTTCGTTTTTCATTTGTCTTCTATTCTTGTTTCACCACCTCTGGTTTGGAGCATTTTATGTGCTTGTATTTTTCCTCCTATCAGTGCAGCAGTGATACTTCTTTTTAAAGGTATTGCTTTCCCCAGAGTTTTCAGTGTACATTCCAAGTCATAGACATTCACTTAAAAAGAGCGTGATCGCTGCTGCCAGGCAGCACATGTACTCCATACCCACGTGCTGCCAGTTGCTTTGCAGTCACACTGCCACCATTCATCTCTCCTACCCAGCCATAGTTACCAAACGCACCAGGGCTGTTATTATTCTGAGCAAACCAGTATCTGTTAACCAAGAAGAAAAAAACAAACATATACATATTTCTTCTCAAATTCTCTTCAGCTTCATAAATCTGAGTTTCTAACATAATTTTTCTTCTCTCTGAAGACCTTCTTTGAACATTTCTTACTAGACAGTATACTTGAATTCCTCCCATTTTTGTTTGGATTAGAAAGTTCTTATTTTTCCTTTCCTTTTGAAGGATAACTTCAAGATGCAGAACTTGAGGTTAGCAGGTGGTTGTTTTTGTTTGTTCAGTGCTGAAACTATTCATTCCACTCTCTCCCTGGCTATGTGTTTCTTTCTTTTTTGGGGGGGGGGTTCCGGTCGTGGGGCCTGAACTCTGGGCCTGGGCGCTGTCCCTCAGCTCTTCAGCTCAAGGCTAGCACTCTACCAGTTGAGCCACAGCGCCACTTCCGGCTTTTTTCTTTTTGCTTATGTGGTGCTGAGGAATCGAACCCAGGGTCTCAGGCATGCAAGGCAGGCGCTCTACCACTGAGCCACCTTCCCAGCCCGGCTATGTGTTTCTGAAGATAAGCTAAATGTTATTTTTCCAGTAAGCTTCATAATTTCTTCTGAGCTTCTTTTAATATTTTTTTTGTCTTTGATTTTCTTGCATTGGAATGTAGATTTTTGCACACTTATCCTGTTTGGTGGTGTTTTCATTTTTGGATCTATGTTTGAGGCCATTAATTTGGGAAAATTTTGTCATTATAACTGTCATTCTTCTTTCTCTTCTACTATTTCTATTACACAGATTGACACCTTTTGTTTTTGTCTCACAGGTCATGGATATTCTTCTCTTTTTCATTCATTTTCCTTTTGGCATCTAGGTTTTGACCATTTCCACTGATCTCTTTTCAAGCTCACTAGTTATGACTGCATCAGTTTCTAGGCTGCTGAGCTCATCAAAGATGCTCTTATTTCTATTTTAGTAGTTTTTTTAAAAAAACACTACTCATATATTCTTGAATATTGACTGATTTTAAAGATTAAAGCCTTGACATATTAATCAGTTGTTTTAAATTTCTCACCTGATAATGTCAACATCTCTGCATATCTGAGTCTGCTTCTCATGCTTACTATATTTCTTCAGACTGTGTTTTGCCTTTTCACTTGACTTGTGATTTCTTTCTTATTAAAAAAATACATAATGTATCAGGTGAAGGAAACTGATAGTCCCTTAGTGTGAGGTTTTGTGTTTACCTGATACTGCGTTGACTGTGGTGGTCGAGCCCAAATTTTTCTCTATATCCTTATGTCTTCTCTGCTGTTTGCTTGAAGCTCTTAAAGCTAATCTCCATTCAGATTTGATGGTTAGGAAATGTTTCTTAGTTGCATGACTAGTTCTTTTTTTAAATTGTTATACAGAGGTGTTATAGGTATGTAAGTCAGGTAAAGAGTACATTTCTTTTTGGACAATGTCACCCCTTCCCTTGCTCTCCCCCAGGTTTCCCCCACACACAAGTTGTATAGTTAATTTTCAATATAGTGTCCAGTGAGTACCACTGCTACATTTGTTTTTCCTTAGTCCCTCCATTTCTGTACCACCCCGTCCATGAGTAGTTCTGGGTGTTGTAGTGAGCCTCAGCTGGGCGGGTTGCTTGAGCTTTGGTGCAACCCTCCTTTGTTAGCCAGTGGGATCATCCCCTTTGAGGGCAGGCCTTGTTAAGAAAAACTGAGAACTCAGAGTATATTTTTAAATGGTTATTTTACTCCTCCCTCTACTAAGCAGGAGAGGCTTTTTCTCTCGTCGCCATGGAAAAACATGATAGAATTCATACAGTTTCTATCAAGGAAATGTGGGGGCTCCCCTAAGACTGGTCCCTCAGAAGTGTTCATTCTCAAACCAGCCTTCATTCAGCCTGGAGCAATTCATTATTTGTAGTTTTGTGTTCCTATGACATTGGCAATAGATGCTGGTGTGATTCTGTTTCTGCTGTCTCTCTCTCTCTAGTTCTTTTGGATTCAAGAAGAATTGTTAGTTTGGTCCAGCTTTTTCTTTTTTTTTGTTTTTTTTTTGTCAGTTGTGGGGCTTGAACTCTGGGTCTGGGCGCTGTCCTCAGCTCTTAAGCTCAAGGCTAGCGCTCTACCTCTTGAGCCACAGCGCCACTTCTGGCTTTTTCTGTTTATGAGGTGCTGAGGAATCGAACCCAGGGCCTCATGCATGCTAGACAAGCGCTCTACCACTGAGCCACCTTCCCAGCCCTGGTCCAGCTTTTTCTTGTTGTGAGAATGTTCATGATGACTTTACATGTTAGAGTGTGGCCTGACATCTGTATTTAAAAGTCCTGAGTAGTCAGTTTTGTTCTTAAAATTTAAGGAAGGCTAATTTATTAATTGAAGGGTTTTATTTTGAAACATATTAAGTTGATGGTAATTGTTACATGATTAATATTTATATATTCATTACTGGTTTACCCTCAAAGCTTCTTAAGGCACAAACTCATCTCCATTTCTTGCTGCTAGAGGAAATTTTCTTACATTAGTGTCTTTTGATTGCAGCTCTACTGGTTTGTATATATATTTTTTTGGTTCTTCTCCTCTACTTCCCTATGATTGAATGATTATTCCAGACCCTTATTATCTTGGATCTAGGCCTACTATACATCTCTTCTCTGGTCCGGCCGCTCTCCAACTGTCTTCAGAATGATCCTTCTAAGGTTCACAGATGATGTTTCCATCTAAATGTTTATTCAGACAATTGGTAAGCCTGTTATTGTGTGTGTGTGTGAGAGAGAGAGAGACGTGAGAGAGAGAGAGAGAGAGAGAGAGGGAGAGAGGAAGAGAGAGAGAGAGAGGAGAGAGAGATCTTTATTAAATGTGACATACATGTAAGGCACTCCAGTCTTGTCATATGAACATTTGGAGCATTCTTGCTCCTCTGGGATATTCACTTACCCCAGGGTGCCAAAGGGTGACTGGCATTATTACTCTTCCTTTCTTCTACCCTGTACTCTGCTCATCGTGCCATAGCAGCATTAGCTACACAGATTGTATTTTATGTACATGTTCAGCTGGGTGTCAGTGACTCACGCATGTAATTCTATCTACTCAGGACGCTGAGATCTGAGGATCACTGAAGAGTCCATAAGACTATCATCTCCAATTAACCACTCCAAAAGTAGAAGTGGCTTAAGTGGTAAAGCAGTAGCCTTGAGTACAAAGAGGCTCAAGGACAGCACCCAGGCCTTGAGTTCAAGCCCCACAACTGACAAACAAAAAAAACAAAAATGAAATTCATATTTCATTAAATATTTGTTGAAAAATTAGGGAGTTATCTCCACTATATAATACCTAGAAGATAAAATTCGCTGCCTGCCTAAAAAAAACTTTCAATATAATGGCATTCACAACAATCTACCACTAGTAATTCTTAGAATTATATAGATGATGTGGCAATTTTATGTGAAGTACAAATCTGTGTTCTAGCCACATGATCTTTTGTACTTCTAAAAGTCCACCTGTAGGTGGTCTCCAGAGAAGAAATGAATGCTTATTAAATCACAGTAACTCACTTTGGGCCGAGGTTTCTGAAGCCCGGTGTGATGAGCATTTTTAGTGTGATAATTCTTCGCCATGCAGGGCTGTCCTGGGTGGGGTGATGGTGTCCCTGGGCCTCCACACACTTATGTGGTAGCACCGCCTCACTCGTAGCAACTCAAGTTTCTTTAAATGTTTGTCAAATCATCCTTGTTGAGACCCAGTGCTTTAGACTTGGACATTTTTACTTTCATTTTTGGAAATTTCTGGTTACAGTAGGAGCTATGAACAATAGTTTCATAACATCTT